TGCAGGGTGAGTACCTCTGCATGTATTTTATAACCTTTTCAGGTTGTCATTCTACTCTTATATGAAGGTTCATTTTATCCACATGATCATCTTCGTATGACAAAATCCTTAGAATTCAGTTAAAGCCCATCTTTTCTATGAGGCTTCCCTTGATTAGACTAGGTCATACTAATCTGCCACTTCTCTAAATTTTTATTACAGTTAGTGACACTTGACTGCATGCTTTCTTGTATGTTTTATATGCTTTCATCTTGTTTTGATAATTAGATCTTAAATGGTTAGACCAATCACGGTCAAACTTTAAGCATAAGAACCACCTAGAAGGCTCCCTGCAATGCAGAGTGCTGGGCCTCACCTCAAGTTTCTGACTTGGTTTGAGAAGGAATCTGAAAATTTGCGTCTCTAAGTCCCCAGGTGATGCCAATACTGCTGGGCGGGGAAACTACTTTGTAAACCACTAAACTAGAGTATATCACAGTGACTTCTACTTTCTGTAATGATGACGCTGTGCATTAAATTATTTACTTCTTCTCCCTGCCATACTTGTTACTACAACTGTAATCCAATTTTTGAGCCCACATTTTCTTTTTTCTTGGAATGACTTCTGCTTTACTTTCTAGTGAATTCTTGTTCCTTTTTCAATTTTCGACTTAAATGTTGCCTATGAGAGAAGCCTATGAAAAGATTACAAGAAACTTTTCCTGTAAGTATATTGCTTTCTGGATTTAAGACTTCAAATGAAAGTGAAAGTTGTGCCCGACTCTGCAACCAGAATACTGGAGTGGGTAGCCGTTCCCTTCTCCAGGGGGTCTTCCCAACCCAGGGATCGAACCCAGGTCCCCCACAATGCAGGCGGATTCTTTACCAGCTGAGCCACCGGGGAAGCCTGAGAATGCTGGAGTGGGTAGCCTATCCCTTCTCCAGCGGATCTTCCCGACCCAGGAATCGAACTGGGGTCTCCTGCATTGCAGGTGGATTCTTTAGCTGAGCTACCAGGGAAGCCCAACAGCTTTGTATATTTTCTCATTATAATAATTACGACTTTTTGCTGGAATTGCTGGTGCACATGTCTGTTTTCCTGAGCACACTGTGACCCCTTCAAAGGCAGAAACCATGCAGTGCTCTCCTCTGCAGGGTTAGTGTGCCAAACACAGTGCATGCCACATAGCAGACGCGTTCAATAACTATTAAAATGATGAACAAGTCGATTTCATATCTAGTCCTAAAGGCTCTCCTAATAGCTCTTCCTAACTTTAAGGAATCTGATTTCTGATTCATGTGAAATATAGCTATCAGTTTAATTTTCCCAAAATTTCATATTGCGTTACCTTCTACTACAAAACTATACTGACTCCTAGATTCAGGCTCTTTATAGTCTGGCTCTTAACCAACAGCTCCAGTAGTAGCCAAGCTGTGATACTCTTGTCTACTGAACACCTAACACACATTCAACTGGCAGAAATTTGTAAAGCTCTGTTCTTTTTTTCCTCCCCAAACACAGTCTTAAAATTCATCTGGTCTGCTTAGCTCTTGCACCATTCACTATTTACAGCGCTTCTTCAACACTTAACCATCAGCTGTCTTAGAATGCTCCCTTATGTATATTTCATTCACCCGACTAGTTGCAATGCTCTGATTCCTAAACGTAAATGTGAAGTCGCTCAGTTGTGTCCGACTTATCACGACCCCATAGACTGTAGCCCACCAGGCTCCTCTGTCTGTGGGGATCCTCCAGGCAAGAATACTGGAGTGGATAGCCATTTCCTTCTCCAGGGGATCTTCCCGACCCAGGGATCGAACCTGGGTCTCCCATATTGCAGGGAGAGTCTTTACCCGCTTTATACTTCTTTTTAGTCTATTGTCTACAATAGACAGACTTTAATGTTTAGTTATAATGGTATTAAGAAAAATACCCAATATGTTCTTTTAAAAAAATGCCTGTGGTCTATACATTTTCTATGTCACCAAATAAAGTAGACCCCAATTATTCAAAAGAAGTTAGGAAGACACTCAAATTCCCCTTACTATCTGTGTGCCCTGGCTCAGAAACCCAAAGATTGTCCCTACCAGAAAGAAAAGCTCTGTCTATACTGCTCAGGGTGGGCTTCCCTGGCGGCTCAAACAGTGAAGAGTCTGCCTGCAGTGCAGGAGACCTGAGTTTGATCCTTGGGTTGGGAAGATTCCTTGGAGAAGGGAATGGCAACCCACCCCAGTAGTCTTATCTGGGAAATTCCACAGACAGAGGTGCCTGGCGGGCTAGAGTCCATGGGGTCACAAAGAGTTGGATACCACTGAGAGACTAACACTTTCACTTCATACTGGTCAGAGAAGCTTTTAGATCAGATCACGATGTTATCTCTAGCAAGACTGCAATTTTTCTACAGCCAGACAGAGAAACTGCCAGAAAGCAACAGGCATGAGGTAGGTGGTGGTTCCCGGTGGAACTGTGCACCACACTTTGGGAAATGCAGCTGACATGAGTAAAAGGCAGTGAGGAGGGACAGAGACCAGATGTGTCCTTAACACAACCAACCAGCTGACACTCCATCCAGAGGACAGGCAGACAGAATTCCATTTTAGAACAGCCAACCTTCTAGGAAAAATGCTAGCTCCACTGGAAACTGAACTAGGAGTGAGGCATACCACCACGTCTTCCAGTTTTAATTCCAAAAGCTCCAAAAAGGTACCAGAATCAAGGGGAAAAAGTCATACACTTATCTATGACATATGATAGACCATGAGTCTTGAAAGATCCTTGAAGGATATATAATAGAAAAACCTAACACAGGGAATATGGAAGAATACTGCAGAAGAAAAAAAAGAGAGAACTTTATCCTGAAAAATCAGGTAAAGATCCATGTGAAAAGTGAAAGCCGCTCAGTCGTGTCCGACTCTTTGTGACACCATGGACTGTAGGCCAACAGGGTCCTATGTCCATGGAATTCTCCTGGCAAGAGTACTGGAGTGGATTGCCATTTCCTTCACTAGGGGATCTTACTGACTCAGGGATCAAACCTGGGTCTCCTGCATTGCAGAGGATTCTTTTGAGCTACCAGGGAAGCCTCAAAGATCCATGTAGCTGAAAACAATATACTGTATTAATGAGAAGATTTTAATAAAAAGTCAAAACACTTCTTAATATGCAAAAATATATGGACTCCAAAAACAAGTGTTTCATAATAATACAGATTCTGGTAGTAAATTATATTGACAAAGATAAGCAATGAATAAGAAGTAAATTGAGTGAAAGTTCTTACTTTGCATAGGGCTGATTTAAAATGTTGATTCATTTTTTTAGTTCAAAGGTAACAGAAATACATTTCAGAGAGTCTTTTAAAAAATGTAAACATATCAGTATCAATTCTCTAGGAGAAGTAGTAACAAAAAGCTTATGTTCTAAATCTCTAAAAAAAGTAGGCAGAAATTTATTTAAATGGCCAAAGAGAAACAAAACAGTGGGGAAAGCAAGAAAATATTACAAGCAATAGTATAAGACAAGATGATATAAGACTAAACATATCAGTTGTTAAAACATATGCAAAGAAATATCAAACATGGCTACTAAAAGATTTAAAGTCCAAGATAAAGTTAAAACTTGAAATTTCACCTATGGGCTAAGACATGAGGTTGGCAGATTTGATATTCTATCCTTTTTCACTTTGGCAATGATACTTATGTTACATCATGCTGTTTACCTAAATATACTAATGAAGTTAGGTTCTTTACATTTCAGATGTTTAAGTTCATTCTACTCTCTGTATGTATATAATATGTATTAATTAAATAGTATAACATATTTCCTTTATTTTTGAGTAAGTAAATAGGTTTTTTAAAGATATATACTTTGTATAGACTATTATGTGAATATATATAAATATGTCATGAAGATATATCTATATAATGGAGATGTGTGTATAAAGTATACAATAAAAATTAATATATATAATAAAATAGTTCTTTAGTTGTACCTCTAGCATCCTATTTAGCAAAGGCATCAATACTATAATATGTAGTAAATGATTAAAATGCAAAACCATTTTAAACAACTTTTTATCCCTTTATGTCAACAAATTGAGTTGTTTTGTCTATTTAATACATATCTATATCATCCATATTTAATATAAGCCTATAGCATTCATATTCATACATATATAATAGATTATAAAAGAGCTATACTACACAGTTATCCTTTTAAGCAGTGATTCAGAGAACAGGGCTCTAGATCCATAGTTCTGACCATTTACAAAAAAAGAATAATCATATACATATGTACTGCATAGTTATTTAAATTTATCTTATTGTAAAAAAAAAGTTTTTGTTAAGCCTGATTTACAGAAGCAAACTCTTTGTAATTCAACATGAATAAGGGCTTTGGAGCCTAACTTAAGAAAAAAAGACAGAGGTACTTAAATGTCATAGACATACTCAGCTACTGATGACCACTGATGTAGCAGAAAAATAAAACCACTACCCTCTCTTAATTTACAAGCATGGTATTGTTAAAGTTGATGGCAGTTACTCATCATTCAGAAATGCAATCTGATTTTATATTTTCATTTGAAGATTCTAAGGAAAAAAACACATTGTAACCCAATCATGCCATGATCCAGGTGACATCTGTACTAGGCAGAATCCTGTTGTTATTCTCCTGTCTAGCTGCTACTGATGAGAATGACAAAGTAGTGAAATTACATTTTCCCATTATTATTTCCAGACACTCTCTGGCAATGGTTTGTTGACTCTAATAAACCTTCAGACAAAGCTGTCAGCAAAGGAAACGGCAGAAGGAGAGTAAGGAAAAGCCCCTTCAACAATAAAATGCAACTAAACCTTAGTGCTAGCTTGTATAGTTTCTGATAGCAATTTAAGGTGAATGCTTCAATATTTATTCTGATGCTGTATTTGAATTCCAAGGAGAACAATGTATTCCATCAAGTCACATTATCGAGGATTTTGATGAACATAAACATATTATGAGATTAAAGAATGAGATGTCTTACCTGCTATAGTATTAAGAAACATCAAATATTCGAAGTTTGAAATTTCCCTTCTTTGCCAGCGCTGAGTCATGTTGGAAGATTTATAAAGCTGTCGAGGAGTGGCCAGTGATATCCTCCTAGCAATTAAGCAAATTATAACAATTTCTTTAAACTCATGACCTTTAAAAGTCCAATAATAACTAATATATGGATTTGATATAATTCAATGTATGGTTTATCCTTCTTAGATAAATTACAAAATACATTTTAGTTATAGAATTAGCAATATTTGAAAAAAATCTCTTACAGAGGAGATACATGTATTTACTTAGAATAAAGTAATATGAAAGCACCTATTTGTATAACATTGCTCCAAGTGGATATTTTACAAGTCAATAAGAACAAAAAAGGTTAAACTGTACTCAAAATAAGTCAAAGTAGCTTTTAAACAGCACAGCAAACCTATCCCATGCTAAGATACTAGGTAGATGGTCAGGTAGCAGCTTATAAGCATTTGACTCAAACCTTATGTAATAATGACCTCTCTGAACTTTTTAAGCCTGTCTCCCTACAGAGTGTGCACATGAGCACAGCCTCTAACTACATGACACATAATCCTCTAGAAGGTCAAAAGCAAGCAACTGAGAACTTTGAAAATATAGGAATATCTTTGAAAATATAGGAATAGAAGGAACATAGGAGTATCTTAAGAGACTAAGTCAGGAGAATTTGCGTAAATTACAAACCTTTGAAGGTGCAATGTATTTCTCTAAAAGCTGACTGATTTTGTCAAAGCATGATAAGGCTGAGTTTCTAAAACAATCACCACTTAACAAAGAAGTTCCCAAACATTTTGAATTTATGCCACCTTTAGCATCTCAGGAATTTTTCCATGGTGTCCCTAGCCCAAGAGAAACATCTAACAGTTCTCTTTATTGAGTAGTTAGGTCTAAATAACTTAACACTTGAGCCATAACAACTTAGTAGCTGTCTGAGAATACAATATTCAAAATCTGAAAGAAAACTAGTATTTCATTTCCTTCTTAAATAACCACAATTACTTACTAAAGGGGTGCAGTGTACACCTGTTGGGCACTGCACAGCTTCTTAAACCTGGGAATTATACCTGACACTACCATTTTCATTTCCTGTCCCACATGAATTTTCATGGGGTGCCTCTTCTTTTTTTTTAACCACAGCAACCCCTAAAAATTAGTTTCACAAAGCTGTCATCAAAAAGAAGACAAGAATGCAGTGCCATCAAATGTTGAAGATTAGAACTAAACTGAACTGAGTTTGTGCAGTATTTGATAGATGCTGCTGTATTTCCCTAAAAAACCGTAAAATGCCCTGCAGTAGGCCTGAGAGTTCACTGTGACATCTTAGGGCTCCATGGTGGGAGCTGCGGACCTAAGACTATTTTTATCTCCCATGTTTTATTATCATGTTTACATTCACATGAGATCTTAATAACCATGGCAAGAGCTAAGATATAATTTGCTGTTTAGTTGCTAAGTCATGTCCAACTTTTTGACCCCATGGACTGTAGTCAGCCAAGTTCTTCTGTTCATGGGATTTCCCAGGCAAGAATACTGGAGTGTGTTGCCATCTCCTTGTCCAGGGGATCTTCCCAACCCAGGGACTGAACCTGTGTCTCCTGCATTGGTAAGCGGATTCCTTACCACTGAGTCACCAGAGAAACTCAAGATATAGGGGTTGAAGAAAAGGAAGGAGGAAGGAAGAATAGGAATAAACTCGGTACGTCAAATTAAAATTTGAATTAAGAATTTAAAAAATAATTATGTCTAACTCAATGCTTAAAATGTTAACTTAATATTTTGTAGCAGCCTGGTCACATATTAACATTTTGGGGGCTTTCCTAGTTATATATACTTGAGATAATAGATCCTAAGGATTCCATAAGAACTATATAAGCCTAATTGCAATGGTAAGGGGAATATATATTTCATACTTAACTTAAATACTATATCTTAGTACACTTTTCAATTAACTGGCAATATGATTTTCACAGGGCTACTAAAAGGGCTTCCAGATTTTAAGCCATTCCAGCACACTATTCACCAGATACTCTCACTTACACAATTATTTATGCTATGAATTTTAGCCTTGATTCTGGATTTGTCATAGCAACATGCTAAAATATTTTCTGAATTATCAATTAATAAACTATATTGACCCAATTTTTACTTGCCACTATTGTAATTATGTGCTTAGTTCAATTTTCACTGTATTACTATTTTAATCATATTCTTGCTAATCTGACTAAAATTCTAACCAGCATCATGCTTAGTCTGCTAAAAGCAATGTATAGAATAAAGTTGTAAATTTATTTGTCAACATTTTAAACCTAGAGAAGTTAAGAAGAAAGCTGCTGATACGGAAATAATCCTGAGCACCAAATACACTCAAAAACCAAGACCAAACAAATTGTGATAAGGATAAATAATGGAACTAATAGGAGAAGGTTATCATGTCATTCTTAGAGTACGCAACTGTGAAGAAAAATACAGGCATACAAAATGAATTTAGAAAATCAGATTACTATTAGCAAGTTCATGGAAAGGACCAGTTTTTCCTCTTTACTGCTCTCTCTTTTCTACTATAAACTCACTGAGAGCAGGAACTATGTTATATATACTGTTATGTCCTTAGCATTTAACAATACTTGAACTAGAGTGGGGTCTAAATAAGTATAAACCAAATGACCTGAGTTATTATCCAAATCTATCCCCCCAAAAAATAATGGCTAAAGAGAGATGAAATTAAAAAAATAAATAAATAAATTCAATCATAAGAAGAAGCACAATGGTAAACAGTAAGTCAATAGAGTGATTAAAAATATTCTATAAAGATCTGGACATTTGAATGAGTATAGTTGGTACATATTTGCGCTACACAAAAATGCTTTTACAACTGGGGAATAAGAAGAAGATAAAATTGCCTTCTGGAAAAAAATACTAAGTACTATAACAAATGGTGACAATTTAAAATCATTAACTCTATATATGCAATGAGGTATATTCTTAATAAGTAAAGAATCTAACTGTACTCAAAATTTATTGATTATAATGACCGTCTGAATAGAAAATAGCAAAACATTAACCAAACAATGACAATCAGTGTGGAGTCTAGAAACGGACAAATTCTTTGTCAGTATTTTTCTATCATTATGCATGGGGTAAGGGTATTGCTCTTTTGACCAATGTGGACCACTTTGATAGATGACACCAAATAGAAATTAAGAGAGTGGGTTATGATCTTGGGCAAGACAAGTAACTTATCTAAACCAAAAACTTCCTATTGTAACATGGGGTAAGAACTCCATTAAGGAACTTCCTTGTCCGTCTGGTGGTTAGGGCTCCATGCTGCTGCTCCAAGGAGCCATTTGGTCCCTGGTAGAGGAACTTAAGATCCCTCATGCCACATGGTATGGCAAAAAAAAAAGAAAGAGAGAGAGAAAGAAAAAAATTTTTTAAAAGAAATCCATTAAGAATCCACATGGTTTTAAGAATTAAGGGCTGAGTGCCCCTCTGCCACGTGAGGACACATGGACAGGATGACCATCTATGAACCTGGAGTTGGGCCCTCAGCAGACACCAAATCTGCTAGTGATCCTGGACTTTCTATCCTCCAGAATTGCCAGAAATAAATGTCTGCTGTTTATAAGCGAAAAACTAATGTTTATAAACTTGAACACAAAGTATAGTCCCTGGGACTTGGAAAGTGCTCAGCAAATGAGACATGCATGTAAACTAGAGGGGTGTTCATTAGGCTCTGCTCACTTCAGTTCAATCATATCCAACTCTTTGTGACCCCATGGAATGCAGCATGCCAGGCCTCCCCATCCATCACCAACTCCTGGAGCTTGCTCAAACTCATATTCCTTGAGTCGGTGATGCCATCCAACCATCTCATCCTCTGTCGTCCCTTTCTCCTCCTGCCTTCAATCATTCCCAGAATCATGGTCTTTTCTGCTAGCTTTATGGAAATATTCCTTTTGTTCTAAATCTTTGCAATGTGATCTCTTTGGTGGGCTTGCCCAAAAAGTGGCCTAAGTGATACATGAAGTCTATTTTCTGGCAGTATACCTGCCTTTGAGTTTGATCATTTTTGTCTGTTTGCTTCTAAAGCAGTCTCCTTTGGGCTTAGTTTAGGGTATATTCCCTAGAGTTTGATAAACTCTTCTTTAAACTGACAAAACCTGATGTCAAAAAAACAAAGTAAAGAATGGATCCCTTGGTGATTTTACCAAGATACTCTCAGCTGGAAGGCTTCTATTTGTAGGAGTCAGACATCATCCCTTCCGTTTGACAATTCTCTAAATACAATAGGATCTTACATATCACACACTCTTTGGAGGTGTCTGTGTGTATATTTATTTATCTACTCACCCAGCTACCTACCTCCTTACCAACCTACCATCTATATCTATGTGTGCATGCCCACATGCATGTGTATAGTGTATATGTGTGTTCACAGTCCACAAAGTGCATTCATTTTATGGTCTTAGGACATTTGTTGAAATATCTTTCACAAAACACTGTGCCCATTTTATAGTAGATGAGAACTTCAGTCTTCTTGCTTAATGTTATCTGAGTTCCTACAATCAGATCAGACCCTATCATTTTTACCCAGCCAGTAAGTGGCAGGTCTGAGCCTAGATTCAATGTTCCTCCAACCTCCATCTGCTACCTCCAAGGCTAAATATCACAGGAAATAAACAAAACTGAACTTATGAGTATTTTATTGGGAAACAAATAATGAGTTGAGTCTTTGGGGGGAACACAAAGGGGGCAACAAAAAACTATCTTAAGACAGAATTTCCAAAGTTACTAAACATATGTTTTGTTTCCAGTTTTTCCATCAAGAAGAATAGCATTCCAAAAATCTGAGTCTAAATGTGGCTGAAAGGAAAATTATAAGAAATAAGGAATATAGTAAAAGAGTTTCTAGTTGTTTTAAATGATTTCAGGTCCTGACAAGTAGAAGAATACTGAAAGAAATCAGAAAACTCTATTGGTAATCTTTGAAGAATCATGGTCATTGAGAAATATGCCAGGAGGCAGATGGTTATTCTTTAAAAGGAAAAAGTTAGGCCTGTTTGTGAGTTCTTAAATTAAATTCCTGGAAAAATTCTTGACTTGATGATTAAACAATTTGTAGGTACTTGCAAAAGGAAGAAGTGATTACTAAGAGTCAGCTTAGATTAAGAATAAGCCTTGCAAAACTAACTTCATCTTTTTTTTTTTTTGCTAGAATAAATGCATTTTTCTTTTGACCTGTATCTTATATAAGTACTTTGTTGTCTACTAATGTCTTAAGTGAATTTTGTTGTTCAAAATAGCAAATACCCTGAGCATGTGCAAACATGTCTGTGAATGGTTTTACACTATAAGCTTAATATGAGAATAGAGACTTTGTAATGTAGGGTAACTCTAGTTGACTAGCACTTAAAAGCACCTTTGCAATTAGGCAGTGTGCTAGGTATTGTAGATTAAAAGATAAATAAGACACAGTTCCTGTCTTTTAAAATGTCTGTAGCCTATTTAAGGGGAAGATGGACAAAGATTGGTTTTCCTTTCCATGCATGCAGTGCTCTGGAACAACTCCCAGGCACTTAACGATCTACACGGGAGACACTGTTGCTTGTCTGCCCGAAGCCGACTATTCTCTTTCTTCCTTAACAACAGAAAATGTATTTTTTTCAGATATGAAGTTGCAGGGAGTTCAGAGGTATATTTTTCCTTGACTTGTAAGGGATGATCTGGCTTCACGTTCAGTGTTCAGTGATTATTTCAGGGGCAGGAAGGTGACTCCATTCTGGCCAAAGGGACTGCTAAATGCACTCCCTTCTAAAACACAGAATTTCAGGAAGTCCTTTGTGTCCTTCTCGTCCTTGAACACAGTGGTATGAAGATGCGGTATTCAGAGCAGTAGTGGTTACCTGGGGAATATGAGGCCGACTTAGAGTCCTGACATTACTGACCCTCTGAGCCAATACTGGCAACTCCTTTTTTTATGTTTTAAATTTTTATTTATACATTTATTTATTTTTGGCTATACCGGGTCTCCTTTGTTGCTTTTCTCCTGTTGTGTGTGGGGACTACCCACCAGACGTGGTGTGTGGGCTTCTCTCTGTGGCGGCTTCTCTCGTTGCAGAGCACGGGCTCGAGGCACGCAGACCTCAGCGGCTGCAGCACACAGGCTCAGCAGTCAGCGTGCATGGGCTTAGCTGCTCCATGGCGCGTGGGGGCTTCCTGGATCAGGGGTTGAATTTGTGTCTTCTACATTGGCAGGCGGATTCTTTACCACTGAGTCACCAGGACAGCCCCTGGCAACTTCTTTTTAATTCCACCTCTTTCATAAAACAAAACCCCTACAACCAAAACCCTATTGGTTAAGCCACTTTTAGTCATTCAGTTACTCGCAGCCAAAACCAACTAATTGATATTAGTGACACACATAATTACTGACCATGTTTTCTACACAGAGTAGTATCTTTGACTAAGTAAGATTTCAAAATAATGCATTTAAAATACAAAGATGAAAGATTCAGGAAATGATTATAACCACACCATAATGAATGACTATTAATCTCAATGAACCCTAAGAGTTTTATTACTGTAATGAAGAAGTCTTTTTACACAACACTTATAAAAAACTGTATGTTATTACACAACAGTTAATCACAAACATCATGAGGCTTTTGGCATGTCTTTCATAAGATCTTCAGCAAAATGTCTTAACATGCTTGCTATAAGATGAAATCAACTTTCTTACTTTGTCATTTAAATAAAATTATGTTAAATAAAATTATTCCCTATTCTGTCATTCTTAAAATAGCTGTTTTCATACAAATGACCTGCAGAGGAAGACAATTCCTTGGTATTCAAAATAATTACAATGGCATAACTCTATTCAGATTTTTGTTGTATTGAGATGGAAATATGTTAGCAAACCATAGGTAATGTGTAATATGATATAATTACCTGGCTTGTGGCAAACCATAGCTGGTCCCTACTCCAACCCGAGGCAAGCTATAGACGACTTTTTTTACTGTTGCTTGATCAGGGAAATTAAACATAACTGAAGCTGTGGCAAGAAGAAAAAACATGATTTAGAAAACCACAGGAGAGCTAACCATCAATTTCAGAAATCATTCTTCAAGTGCCTTTCATGATTTATTTGTAAAGGTAATGAATCTTCATGGAAATTAGATTTCCTTGTAAGTTTATCCTAGGATTAACATTTTCAAACAAATACATTCTTTTTTAACTTTTATTTTTGCATTAGCAGCAGCATATCAAAGAAAGAAATACAATGCAAAAAATCAAGTCAGTATCACATCACGTCAATCTTAACATTCAGCAGCACATTCTCTTTCAAAATATTTAAGGAGACTTACTTCGGTTTGCCATAAACACTTCCAAAGCAGTATTTTGTAGAAGATAACGTCTTGAAAATACAGCTCGTATCTCGCTGAACATCCATTTTCCATGAAGCCCTTCAGTGTATGCAAGGACCTAAAATAAGCAGTTTGAAGGGAATTGTCAGTCAGTGGAATGTGTGTCTCAGACTCAGTCTGACAATACCTTAGACAGTGCTGTATAAAAATCAGTAAGTTAGGGGTTATCTTCCTGAATTCATGATGTATCACAACACTGTCAATCATTTGATTCTGTATATTTACAAAATTTCTACCTTTCTAAATTTTTGTTCCTGGCTCATGTACAAATGAAGGGACAAAGGAAGAGACAAGTTGTAAGTTCAAGGCGACCCTCTGACAAAACAGAAAATGTGTTATGCCTTGGTGGTCTTACATACAACTGGTTAGACCAGGTGGCTGGATATACATGGCTGGTGCTTTTCTGATGTCATTTTTCCTCCTTCTTCCTTGCTTAATGAAAGACCATTTAGTCCTCAAAGTGGTCAACACCAAGCAAGGGTTCATGACTGGTCTGAGCCTGAGGTCAATGAACATTTCTGGTAAAAGGTGAAATAGTACAATTTTTAGGACTTGCAGGCCCTCTGTCCTTCTCACAACTATTCAACTTTGCCACTGTGATATGAAAGCAGTCCCAGACAATGTGTAAGTAGATGGGCATGACTCTGTTCCAATAAAACTTTATTTGCAACAATGGCCTGAATTTGTTCCGGAGGCCAGAATTTGTCTGACCTTTGATCTAAGATAGTGATGATAAAGTCATTCTTTCCCCCAATTCCCTTGCAACTATAAGTAAGGAAATGTGACCCAGAACTGGCTAATGAGAATGAAACCAGTCATTCGGGGATGTTCCAGAAAAGCTGATAAAAGGAGTCATATGCAGCTGGCACACTTCTGTCTCCTCCTTACTTGAATGGAGATGTAACGGCAGAAACTGTAGAAGCAATTGTGTAGCCGTTAGAGGAAGGCCAAGGGAATCCCAGCAAAGGCTGACCCTAATACTAAGTTGCTTAGCATTGCTAATACTAATTCTCAGCAACTATCCATATGTGGACTTTTTGCTTCATGATACAGATAAATTCACATCTGATTATTCTGCTGCAGTCAAATCTGCAATAAACACATTTTTGGAGATAACAGAGAGAGAAGGACAGGAAAGTCTGGCATGCTGCAGTCCATGGGGTCACAAAGAGTCAGAATAACAAAATGAGTATAATCTCAGAAACAAGAAGAGATCTTTCCATGAAAGCTATGATGGCACCTTTATACTAAAAGTGGTATGCCAGGAGGATGGGTGATTTTATGTATTTGCGACTGTGCTGCTAAGTATGGTTATCATCTTGATTTTACACACTTTCATCAGCCTTTTTGGAGAAGGAAATGGCAACCCACTCCAGTATTCTTGCCCGGAGAATCCCATGGGCAAAGGAGCCTGGTGGGCTACAGTCCATGGGGTTGCAAAGAGTCGGACACGGCTGAGCGAGTAACACACACACACATATATTATATATTAGACTTTATATATATGAGTGTGTGTATATACATACACACATTAATATTTTTATTTTTCTCTTTGACAACCATGATTTAATGCATATTTGATCAAGTATTCTTTTCCATTAATCATAGTGTCAGTTTATTTTATTGAATACCTTTAGCAGGCAGGTGGCTCACACACATAGAAGTTGCTCTAAGTGCTTCATGTAAAACTGTCTTACCAACTGTGCCAGTTATTCAATGATTGGCTCTTGGCTCTGGAGTCACACTTAATTGCTTATCATGTGAAAATGAATCCATGCCCTTAATTTTTCCTTTGGTAGCTGGGAGCATGTTGAGATCCATCAGGAAAGGACTCTGAAGAGACGATGCAGAGGCAAGGGGTCTTTCTTCCCCATTCTGTGTGCTCACCTAGCAGGTCTCTGCAGAGCGTGGGCTTCTATAGGGCCTGGCTCCTGCAGTGTGTGATGGCTGATAGGACCTGGTGATTAGAAGTTTTCTCCAGTACTTCAGTGCCTCAGGCACTTTTATAGCAAAGTGCTCTGATGAGAACCCTCCTATAAGGGAGCTTCACCAATCCCTAGAGGGTGGTTTTCTGGGAAGTTCCAAAAGACAGAGCACCAAGCTCCCCCAGTAGGGCACCAGAGAGACTTTGTACCATGAAGGGTGCTATTAGCCATGCTGCTGCTGCTGCTAAGTCACATCAGTCGTGTCCGACTCTGTGCGACCCCACAAATGGCAGCCCACCCAGGCTCCTGTGTCCCTGGGATTCTCCAGGCAAGCACACTGGAGTGGGTTGCCATTTCCTTCTCCAATACATACATGCCCTCCCTACCTAAGTCAGGGGCCCCTGCTTGGGTTCAATATCAGCTCAAAATACAGTGGCTGCTCCTCATGTATTCTGTTCCTATGTTCTTCAGAGTTCTTTTTATTTCTTACTAACTTGTTTCTCCAAAATTCTACTAGAGTTTATATTGTAATTATTTCTATGTTATAGTGTTTATAAATTATAACACTTTCCCTGTTCAAATTGCTATATGGCTTCTTTCTCTTGACTGGTGACAAACTGATATAGGAACTCAATCAGTTCTCCTCCAGGCTGGGACCACAACAGTCCTCAGGGACCCTCAGGGACCCTTGGGAGCAAGAAAAAGGAAACTGAGATAATCAGAGGAACTCAGTAAAGCCTGGAGGTGAAGAGTAGAAGGAGACAGAATAAAATTAAATTATTTTGCTAGCAAGTAATAAACAGCTTGGGCTTCCATGGAGGCTTAGCGGTAGGCTTAGAATGCGCCTACCAATGTAGCAGTTGTGGGTTCGATCCCCGGGTTGGGAAGATCCCCTGGAGAAGGAAATGGCACCCATTCTAGTATTCTTCCCTGGAAAATTCCATGGACAGAGGAGACTGGCAGGCTACAGTCCATGGGGTCACAAAGAGTTGGATATGACTGAGCAACTAAATTAACATCAACAACCATGAACAGCTCAGGAGGCAAATTCCAAAAGATAGATCCAAAGTTCCAAGCTGTTTGAACAAGGACAGCAGCATCTGAATGAGCGGTACATTACCCATTCAGAGAAGCCAAGGAAAAGAAAATTTTCCTTTACAGTCACTGACGTTATAGTTAAGCTTTGAAATCCTTAAAAGGGGCTGATAAAAGACAGTGCTCTGAGGCATTCATAATTTCCCTGCCAGAAAACTCAAGAGAGCTAACAGTCTTTTTCTTTTTTTTAAAGCATGCCACCTCCTACTTTCTCGTTTCCTTCCAGATTGATTATGGAATGAAACTCTCCTAATTTAATTAAAGCTTCTCTTTTAAGTATCCTTTCCTGTGAACTGCCTTTCCTGGCATCCAGCTTAAGAGTTATCATGTACTAACCTCCAGTATCTCTTCTATGACATCATTTTGTTTCAGTTCTGTGCATGGAACTTATTTATTTATTTGTTTGCTTTTTGTTGGTCCCCTCCCTGTGATGTGAAACTTCCATGACAACAAGGTCCTCAGTCATCTTATTTACTGCTCAATACACAGAGCCTAAAGCAATGCCTCGCACATATGTGCTCCATATACATTCGTTTATTGAATAAATCACCAAGAGAAACAGAGATAATACATATGGCGGGGGGGTCACAAAGAGATCTTACAAAGTATGTGCATCTTTGACTCCTTTGCTGAATTGTAAAGAGCTTTCCAGTTTCACCTTCAGACTTTGCATGTTTATTATCTTAATGCTGGAGCCTGCCAGAAGTCTCTCCTGACTTGAGACTTAATCAAGATCTAAACAAAGCAATCTAAACAGAATAACTGTTTTATATTTTCTAGTAGTTTAATTTGCACTCACAAGGAACCCTAGATTGGGTTATGTGCTGTGCTGTGCTCAGTCATTAAGTCATGTCTGATTCTTTGTGATCCTGTGGACTGTAGCCCACTGGGCTCCTGGGCTCCTTGGTCCACGGGATTTCCCAGGCAAGAATACCAGAGAGGATTGCCATTTCGTCCTCCAGAGGATCTTCCCGACCCAGGGATCGAATCTGCATCTCCTGTACTGGCAGGCAGATGCTTTATCATGGAGTCACTAGGGTAGGCTGGGTTATACCATATCTTGAAAGGTCTGTCTCCATAAAAAAGGATTCCTTCATTCTAGAGGGGCTGTGGAAGGTCTTTTAGGCTAAGGCATTTTAGTTGATAGACTTAATGTCTCTCATTTAAGAAAATATATACTGAAGTGTGTCACAGAATATCATTTGACACCCCTGTTAAACATCAGTTTTATTTCTGTTAATTAGACATTTTTTTTCAGTAGTGAAATTACTGCAGATAGGATGGAAAATAAAATATTTAAAGAAATGACGAACTGTTGAGATAAACCACTAGCATTCAAATAACTTCACTGATCGCTATGATCACCTGGGACTATACCCCAGTCCCCTTTGCTCTCCTCTGCTCAGATGCCAAGAGAAAGCCCTGAAACAGAGCATGAGGGTAACTAGAGAGAGTTCACTGACACACTCAGGGGGCTCATGGAGGCCAAAGTAGAAAGCTGTGACACTGGAGGCAGAGAGACTAGTCAGCATGCTACTCTGGGCATGTGATGAGTTTAACCAATTTGTATATGCTTCAAAAGGGCAAAAGAATATCATTTATAGTTGATTAAGTACTGAGTTTATGGTATGTTTCTATAAAATTCTGGGCATCAAGCCTAGGTCTGAAATATGATTTGATGCTATAAAATTGCCTGTATTTTATTTATACTTCCACTAGTTACATAGTGTTCTGTAAGTTTTAGGCTCTTCTATAATAATGCTTTAAGTTACTTTTTCATTTAGTCCAAGATATTTTTCTAAACCATAGAAGTACTTTCATCTAGACTTGAGGTTTGTGGTTTTGTTTTCTTTCTTAAGTCAATCTTTCCATATCATCTGATTTGTGCTTCCCAGGCTGTCCAAATTATTTAATGTACTATGAAACCAATCAACAAATGCTGAAATAGTCTACCCAGTTTCATTTTCTGAAAAGTTGAACAAAGAATTTTTATCACAGCATATGGACAGAGGAGCCTGGTGGGTTAGTCTGTGGGGTC